TTCTTTTTTGAGCCCCGTTATAGTTTTGGCCTTCACAATGTACCCTGGCAATGAGTTCCACAGGTTGACAGGAGAGGTGACAATTGCAAGAAAGTGTCATTCTTGCGCTATATTCTATTTTACTTTGGAAAAAAGCCAGCTGTGAAAAGAAAGCATCTCTTAGGGAACGTCTACACTACAAAATTATGTCGACCTAAGTTATGTTGACATACAGCCACCGCAGTAATTAAATCACTTTTGTATGTCCTCACTGTGCTCCTAGTGTTGTTGGAGCACATCGTCACCAGGAGCACTTGCACCGATCTAAATGTCAGTCAGACAGGCATTGTGGGATGATTTCTGAAAGGCAGCAACAGTTGTTGTAAGCAACACAGTGTCTACACTGACACTGCATCGACATAACTACATCAAACGAGGCACTACGCCTCTCACAGAGGTGGAGTTAGGGCAGGTCTACACTACAGCCGGGAGCAACACTCTGAGATCGATCCACCAGCGGTTGATTTAGCGGGTCTAGTAAAGACCCGCCAAATTGACTGCAGATCGCTCTCCAGTCGACCCCTGTACTCTACCCCCGACGAGAAGAGTAAGGTAAGTTGATGGCAGATTTTCTCCCGTTGACCCCCCCATGGTGTAGACCCCGTGGTAACTCGACCTAAGGTATGTTGACTCCAGCTACATTATTCACGTAGCTGGAGTTGTGTAGCATAGGTCGACGTACCGCGGTAGTGTAGACATAGCCTCATTAAGCTGGCGTAGTGGGCAAGTTACATCAGTGGGAGCGACATTTTAGTGTAGACACGTACAGAGTTAGGTTGATGTAAGCTGCCTTGCGTCGACCTAATTGCGTAGTGTAGACCAGGACTAGTAACTGAGCTGACCCCAGAACAGAGCTGCCCGAGGCACTTAAACTGTGCTAGGGGCTACCAACCTGTGGCTACTCAAATGAGTGCAAAGGTGCAACCAGCAGTGAGAATTGCTGAGTCTGCACAGGGATTTCCCTACATGCCCTCTAGGTGTACACCCTCCCTGAATTTCCCCACTCCCCCCACCCCCCAGTTTTGTGAACTAGTTACATGCAGTGTTGCCAATTTAGTGATTGTTTGGAAATTTGAATTGAAATTTAAACATTAATACACACTTTAAAAGCATATAAAGTGTATGATAAAATACATATATCTGAAAAAGTATAATAGATTTGAAAAATATGAACATAGACTAGCTTCCTTATACAGCTGTTGTTTTTTATGACAATGTCAGTGCATTCATTTTGGTGACATTGGTCAACCTAATAATTTCAAATTATGATTTGTAAGCAAAGTCTAAATGAGCTCTCCCTGACAGCTAGTGATGAGCTGGGGGCTTCAGGACCAGATTGTATTTACATTCACATCTAATCTACCTAGGTATTCAGCAAACACAGCTGGGTTGCCCAAGTGATAGATTTTGGCTGGGGTTGGGTTACAAATCACTTGAATGCGGGACGGGGGCGGGGGGAAAAGGGGGGAAGGTGGTAATGATATGTTGTTATTCTTATTGTATGAGTAAAGGGCAGTAGAACTGTACTTAGCCTGTGCTGATCCAGGGCATCAAGAGAGAGGGTGGGGACAGATGTTTTGCTTGATGATCTGCCCCTCTCCACTGTTTAAAGACAGAGCTGATTAGGCTCCATAGATAGTCTTTTGTTTTGTTAAGTGACCACTACAGCTGAAATCACTGATAATCAGGTCTAAGTGCTTAGACCTGCTGCGGGACAGTGTATCTGTGGAAGAGACAGCCCAGTCTGCACTAGCAGTGAGGTTCCCCCACTGAGAGCGCAGCTGAAATCACTGAGAGCTGGTGGAACCTCAAGAGACCAACTGGCAGAAGTCACAGTGGCAGGTGGCAGCAGAAGGTGACGGCGCAGGGCCATTGGCAACAGAGCGATGGAGTGAGCAGTGGCACAACGAACAACAGTGGCCAGAGCGAACAGTGAGCAGCTGGAGGAATGAGCAAGGTGCATTCTTGCCCCCCACCTGGGAGGTGAACTCATGTGAAAGCACCTCTGAACTCTGAGTCTCCACTGACAAAGGACAACACGGTGAGTGTTAATGAGGATGTTATGAATGCTGGAGACACAACACAATTCATGTGAACAAACACGGCTATGGCATCATACTTTCTATTTAAGCAAGAAATACCACACACTGCAAACTGGAGGCCAATGTTAAGTGCATTGTCACTTGTTCATCCTGAAGTTGAACACTGGTTCCGAACAAGACCAGCAAATGCTCACTATCTTTCTGCAAGAAACTCAACTGACTGGCTAGAAGCATGCGGTGCAACAGTGAAAGACTCAAGAGTTGAAAAAGTGAAGAATTCTCTCACCACATTCAAAAAATTTGCATACATGGCTGATGAATGCACCGATGCAAATGGGTGTCAAGTATTAAGTAATTGTGTACGTTATCTTGATGTCAGTGGTAGGCCAGCAGATGCATTTCTAGATGTTCAAGTTATAGAAGACACATCGGCTGCATCTGTGACAACCCACATCTTAGAAGAGTTAAATGCTTGTCAGTTGAACCCCAAACAGATGGCTGCTTGTGCATTTGATGGAGCTGCAAACTTCTCTGGAAGACATGGTGGAGTACAAACTTTGCTCAGAGACAAGTGTAACCCTAATCTCTCCTATACACACTGCAGGGGCCATCTACTCCAACTAGCGCTCGTACAAGCTGCAGACTCTTCAAAAGACATTAAAAAAGCTATAAATTTAATGTCTTCATTATATTCTTTTTTCAGCAAGAGCCCAAAAAGATTGAATATCTTGGAAAATATAGAAGATACACTGGGACTGAAGTTCAAATTAGTCCAACTTGGGAAAACCCTCTGACTTTCTCATGAGTGATCCTTGGCTGTAGTCTTAAAATTACTCCAGATGTTATTACTGGCTTTGGAAAGTATCTACCAAGATGGGATGGATCTAAGTAGTGAGGCTGGTGGATTACTTTTGCTACTACTTTCGACGAAGACTATTGCCATTCTATCTCTTGTAAGTCTACTGTTGAAACCACTTGGGTCATTAAACAATGCCATCTAGGCATCTGCTACAACAGTAGTAGATCTTTGTCCAGCAATAGAAGCTACATTTGGATCAATCAGAGAGATATCCTTTGACAAAGTACTAGAAGAAGCAAAGACTTCAGTCCAGAAGTTGACTAATGAAGGCATTTATTTTGAATCCTTAAGTGAAGAGGACAAGAAGTGTTTGTTAAGATAACTGAAAAAGTACACAGACTTGATTCTTAAAAATCTACAACAGCGACTTCTAGATTCTATTCAACCTCTACGTAGCTTTTACAGATCCCTGTCCTCAGGGCCGGCTCTGGCTTTTTTGCCGCCCTAGGCAAAAAAGCCTCCGGCCGCCCCCCCCCCCCGCGGGGGGGAGGGGGGCGGCCGGCCGGAGCCGGGGGGGGCAGCCGGAGCCCCGGTGGGGGCTCCGCTCTCCCCCCGGCGGCAGGGGGGAGGGCGCCGGGGGGGAGGGCGGCCGGAGGGGAGGGCGGCGAGCCCGGCTGTGGCCCCGCTCTCCCCGGCGGCCGGAGCGCCGCGCCGCCCCCCTCCAGGTGCCGCCCCAAGCACCAGCTTGGGTGCCTGGTGCCTGGAGCCGGCCCTGCCTGTCCTATAAAACACCGACAGTTGAGTGGAGTGAGGCACTACCAGCTATGAGGCTGCCATGTGCTCAGGACAGAATAGAGAATTTGAATACAGAGTGGAATATCATACGAGGAATGAATGAAGAGTTGACTTCAACTTCTTTTTTATCATCACTAGTGGCTTGACCCGATCTTTGTGCTATGTTTCCTGGGATGAAAGAAGTAGGAATTCATCTCTTGCTACTCCCAGTCACAACAGCTACGTTGAGTGTTCTTTTTCATCATTGAATAGAATTGTGTGTTCTGAAAGAAGTCGCCTTCTGCCTGATCATGTGAATGAACTAATGAGCATATCAGTTGAAGGAATGGAAGTACCAGACACACAAGAACCCACCAAAGATGAACGCATTGCATTCAAGAAGTTCATTAACAGAGTTGTGCAAAATTATAACAAGAAACCAAGAAGGATGTAGATGTAGTGCTCCATAGCACGGGAGGCTTGAGAGTCAACTTTAATTTGTGTGATGATTTTAAAACATGAGTTAAATCTAATAAAATGGTCATGAAACATTTTTTCAGTTTTTACTATGGTGCCATACAGCCCACATTCTCCCTCGCAGTCTCACCCCTCATCGGCCCTGACCCCCCACCCCCTAAATTCGAACACCCCCCCCCATTTCAATTCCTGGGGAAAACACTGGGACTCCTGCAGTGGTTTGAAGGGGGGCACCAAAACGCTGGTATGTCTTGGAGGGTGGCCCAGGCTATGCCCCCTTTTTGGCCCCCCTGCGGACATACCTATGAGTAAAATACAAATTAAAGAGATACAGGACTAGTGTCCGATTGAAACGCCCTGCAAAATCCCGCATCCCCTTAACAACTGTACAGGGAGTGCGCCTGCCAGTTTAAATGACTGAGACCGGGGGGCAGGGACAGTGCCGTAAGCCCGCAGCTTGGGACTGGCTCTCTGCACACTTTCAAGAACCCAGAGAGGCGCCCCTGCCCAGACACTCTCCCCTCCACGCCCCTCCGCTCCCTCCCCGCCGCTCAGTGCCACATCACTCCAGCCTCCGCCGTCCCCGCCCGCCCTCCGCCTGCAGAGGGCGGCTTGCCTGTCTTCTGCACGCGGACCCGGGAGCAAGAGAGTGACTGCGCCTGGAGCCCATCCGAAGGCGCCGAGACGGCAGCGCTACCAATGAAAGGCAATCGTGGGGCGTTGCAGACAGGCCAGCGCTGGAGTTTAGCGCCCAGCGGTGCAGCCAGCGGAGGCACAGCTGGGCAGCTGCGGTGGGGGAGGAGGGCCGCATCCTTTGCAGACAACAATTGGAGGAGTTCTCTACGTGCGGCAAAGAAGACGCGGGGGAAGGGGGTGTTAATGTTTCACTCCCACTCAGAGATGGGAGGCGGCGGGGACTCGGCGCACAGCTGGACTGTAAAGGTGGCTGAAGGCAATAGCCGCAGATTGGTCTCAGTTCAAGTTTAAACAGGCAAGAAAGCAGGAGGAAGGAATTGCAGAGAAACAGTCCAAGCTAGGTAAGGGGTTGCTTAATATATGTTAAAATGGTTTAAACTTTGTATTGACTGTGGAGAGGCAAGAAAACAGTCCGTGCCTCAAAGCAGATGCCGCCTGCCCCTGCACTAGAGCCTCCGATTTAAAAGGAGTTGAGCGGCTGAAGCGGTGTTCCCTGCATGCATCCCCTAAATTATTTGCTTTAAATCCTGGTGTGCTGTCTGCTGGGTGAGCCCCATTTCCTTCTCGCTGAGGAAGGGAGTTGCATCCAGCAACGTGTGCTCTCAGACACTGCCTTCCTTACTCTAGACTAGTGTCTTGCATTCTTGTACAAACACTTTCAAACAAGCCACCAATCAGACTAGGAGCAAAGGACTAGGAGTTTTGTTTCCTAGATTCTTGGGTACTATTCCTGGCTCTGGGTAACTCCTCTGAGGGTTGCTCTGAGGACTAATCGACATCCCTAACTTTTGTTGAGATCCTCTGCTGAAAGATGAGAAGGGCATAGCAGGAGAACTGAGGGATAGCAGAGTACCCTCATTTATTACCTGTACAATGTGTCTGTTATAGTCAAGCGGTACTGACACTCTAGAGTACATTCAGATACTATATACAGTATCTCGTAATTTTTTATGGGATTATATAATAATGCGCTTCATTTTAAACCCATACATATTCTGGACTATTCCACTCAAAGTGTGGGTGACTTCTTACTTCAGTTATTATAAATCATTGACATCAGCAATTCTGAATCATGAAATAGAGGCTGCTGAAAATGTTATGGATGTGAATGAAACAAATCCTACTTAGTTTTAAGTTGCTGGCACTGTTTACCTTTCTCCCTTGTTCTGGGGTCTTTCAGGTTGAGAGAAATCTGTGTTTCGTCTTCAGTTTCTGGCTGAAAAAATTGAATTGGAATTTAATAACTATCACTTATTAAATGGTAGAAACTCCCAAACTACCAGGCTCCCTATTTTACTTTATTCTGTTTAAAATCTCTGAGTGCTCCATGTTATTCCAGTTTTCAGAAATCACTCCTCCTTCTCCTCCTCTGATAGTTCTACAACTTTACATGTTCACCGAACTGCATATTCCAAATGTTTTTTTACCTTTTTAGTAGGCAGCTTTTAGAATTTTCAGCAGTTGGCAACTGAAATGCACAAGAAGTTAAAGTTTTAAAGTGTTTATACCTCTGCATTTTTAAATCAGAGCTTGTGTGATCATTTTGTATTTGCACACCTGCTACTTGTGATTTGTCTGGTGTTATAACTTTATTCTGATAGTATTATGATCTTGTGTAACTGTTTTTGTTCATCTGTTGAGTAATGGCACACACTTGAGAGTCACCATAAGTAGGTCACCATTGTAAATAAAAATGTGTTGGTGTTGCTTTTGAGGACACATTGATCATTCACACTAAAATCACCATTCCTAATCCAAATTAGAGCTGGATGAAATTTGCCAGTGAATAGTTTATTTGCTGAAAAACATAGTTTTGGTGGACCTGAAACTAGTCAATGCATTGAATTCACTGAATAGATTTGACCAGACTGAAAAATCAAAATGTTTCAGTAACATCAAAATGAAACATTTGATTCTGAGCCAACTCAGTTTTTGTTTTACTTTGTAATTTGCTGGAAATATTCAAAAGAAGTTTTCAGTTTGACCCAAATGAAACTTTTTTCGATTCTTTGGAATTGCCAGCAAACTGAAAAATCCATTATTCACCCTGCTCTAATTCAAATGTCTTCTTACAACATTCAGCATTACTTATTTGGGCTTTCCCCATATTTACCCTCTGTGGGTGGAGTAGGTTAATATTAGAGATTTTTTGGTCTGTGGTGAATATGGGTGGAAACAAGGAAAATTACCATAGAGGTAGAATAGTAAAATAGAGTGAATGATTGCAGCTATCTTTGGATAAACTTTCTTTTTGACTTACTGTTGGCTGTTTTCTGTCTTCTCTTGAATATTGTATCTTTCTGTGACTAGCCCATTTTTTCATTTACAGCAGCAAGTGGCCAGAGCAGTATCACCAAAAGATTTAAAGGCTTTCTCCAGTTCATTAGTCTTAAGACACCGTTGAACCAGGATTTGTCAATGGCAAAACTCCTATTGATGTCAGTGGGAGCAGATATGGCCTGTCTTCTGCTACTTAGTCACCACAGAGCCATACCGTATTTAGTTATAGCAGAGAGCAATTGACATTATTATCCTCCTCCCTTCCTAGATGCTCACTGGACTGGGCAAAACTCTTGTGGCCTTGGTCATTTGCTTGGCAGACTTTCCACACATAAGTAAGCAAACTCTATTAAAAGCTCTTAGTTTGTAGTGTGCAAAGAAATGAGTGCTACACCCATTCTTTACTACAGGGCAGGGTACCGTACAGGCCATGCTTAAGAGTCCAGCTCCACCTTTCTTCCCAATGGAAAAGAAGAAAAAGCTGTAGGTATGATCATAACAATGTGTTCATTAGTTAATCGGAGTGCCAGGCCAATTCTTGGTCACTCTTTTCTCCAGTTCAGGAAGTGGGTTAACACCTCATTCAGGTTGCTGAGCCTGTATAATTCTTTTCACCTCACTTCTTCAGCACTAACTTTTTAACTAGGCTAAGCCTGGACTAGGATATCTTATAACTTTGTATTTCCCTATATTGTTGTGCCTGTTGCTTTCTCTACAGGGGCTCAGAGTCAAGACACATCTAAAATTGGGGCCCGTTGAAGTCAATGATGATGCTTGGCTGTATCTTGGAGGAATATTTGGCCTATTACTTGTAGCCATTGGTTTGGTTGATCTATTAAGACCTTATCCTGTGGCTACTCTATGGGTAGCATTCTTACTGTCTTCAATAGGGTTTCTGCCTGCAGAGGGGCTGCAGCATTGAGCCCTCTTATGCTCTGTCCATCATTTTGGAGGATTTTTCATTTCCTACTAATGTTACCATCATTACCAAATGCCCATGTAGTCACTACAAGGTGAAATGTGCTCTGTTAAACGGGGAATATCCCTGCTTCTGGGGTTCACATGCCTGGGGGGCATTGGGCTTACTTCCAGGACAAGTTTTCAAACTTAACAATACTGTTCGTGTGGTGTGCCCAGGCCTTCTTCCTCCATCTCTCTTCCCTGTCCCATATGGCTTTTTGCATCTCCTCACAGTAGTGCCTGCCAGGGGCAGTATGCTCATTCAGCTGCATGAAGGTCAGCATGCGGAGCACACTGCCTCTCGCAGGCCCTCTCTTGAGGAGAAGACTTCCAACAGCAGAAAAACATGAGACTCATGGAAGAGGGAGGGGAACAGGCTAGGCCACTGGGCCTAGCCTCAGCTCACATGAGTGCTTCTCCTCTGCTCAGCCCAAGTGTTTTGCTGGATGCAGCTGGCCTGATGGCAATTAGCCACGTGGCAGTCTCCCACTCTCCCATTACTCTGTGTTTGTTCAGTACCTAGCATAATGGGGCCCTGGTCCATGGCGGGAACTCGTAGGAGCTACCGTAATACAAATAAATAATAACCAGGCAGTATCACCAGCCTAAAGCATTCAAAACTCCTGGGTCAGGCCCCTCAAAATTATGAGACTCAAACATACATTTTTGGTCTTTTAATTTGCCTTCTGTTTTCTGAGCTGTTAGTGTTCATATTTTTCAGCTTTTCTCTGCAGCTCTGAAAGTTAGAAACGTTTTCTAAATGAAAGCTGAGATTCTCACATGAGCTTGGAAGCTGGGGCTTTAAGAAAAACACTAAGTATCGTGAGACTTGTTCTATAATCACAAGAGTTAGCAACACTGCAGTGCAGTCTTCCATGAGGAATCTAGAGTGCGTTTGGGGTGGCTTGGGTGTCTCCCCTCTCTCTTGTTCCTAACCTCATTTGCTTTCAGCAGCAGAAGGTGACAGTAATCAATTGTCATGAGCATCACCTGCTGCCCACTCTGCTCTCTGGCTAAATACAGCCAGCTGCTGTATCCTGTGGTGTGGCAGGGCCATCTCTGAGAATGTTGACAAGAACAGTAAAACAGGTTAAGGCCCTGTCTATCTCTGAGGTTAGTCCTGATTCAGTGGTAGCGGCCAGCAACCAGTATAGCTGCTGCCCAGGGAAACCTGAAATGTAGATGAGGAAAGCTGGAAATTGTACAGGATGAGTTAATTTTGCTTGAAACAGGAATAAGAGGAAATGGTGTAAATCATAGCTTTCTTTGTCTACTCCAGATGCTGGACACAGATTGCTAAATCCCAAGTATTGACAAGGTAATGACATCTCATGTTCTATGTGTTATTGACCGTAGGGTGGGTCAGAAGGAATTTCTTTTTTCCACTTCTACTCATATGTTTTCCCATGTTGACTTTTCATCTTTCCCTGCAGCATCACGTGTTGGCCAATCCTGGAGCAAGTATACTGGACTTGATGGTAAAAAAGTTTGTAAAATACTAAGTGTGCAAGTATAAATTGGAATGAATCATCTGGTGAACTTGGAGATAACAAGAGTCATTATATTGTTTATTATAGCCCATAAATGTACTAAGTGCTTCAAAGATGGCTCCTGCTTCAGATCACAATCTAAATTGTAGATAGATCACAACCTCTAGGATGACAGACCGAAGGGACGGATGGGGTGAGGAAGCCATGGTTTATTGTAATGAGGTTACATGGGTACTCGGTTTATACAAGCCCACGTGGTGTTTTATGAAGTTATTTTTAATAAAAATTATATTCACTTGCTTGTATTGCCTATCACAGAATTAAGTTTTCAGGAGAGATTTAAATGGGGAGGGTAGCAGCTTTGCAGGACAATGTCAAGAGAGTGTTCTATGAAAAGAGATTCATCATGGGGGTGGGTTGGGAAGAGCAGATGCTTGTGGGAGAAGTGGCCGGAGGGGACACCAAGGCTGGCACCATTGGAGTATCTACTTGCACACTTCATTCAACTTGAACAATGAATATAAAGATCAGTTTCACATTCTGGTTCTCATGTACTGGTATGATGCTGTAATGTTTAGGTTTCACAGGCTGCAGGGGAATCTTTAAATCCAAACACAGGTTTTTAAAACTTTCTACTTATCTTAAATTTGAAAAATCTTAATTTTGCAACCTGACATTATATCTTTTTGTTTTATGATGCTGTATTTGCCCTGATAAAACTGATTTAAGAGCTACCGATACCTCCTGGGAAAAATAACCAGTTAGAGGCACCTTTGCCTGTCATATCATGAATGTATCTGATCAGAGATAGTTGCATGAAAACTGGCTCTTTGTTCTGAAGAGTGTCTCTGTTCCAGCTGCTTATTCTAAGGTGCCTGTACCCTGCAAAATTAAGTATTCTGTACTTGAAATCTTAATGCTCTCGCTGGTGTCAGACTCTACAGTAATTAGTTGTGATACTGCAAATAGAGAATTATGATTTCTGGTTAGGAATAAGATGGACCCACCCTCAATAGATGGAGGTCATTCCTCCTCCAAAAACAGTGCTTCCCAGACCCTTAGACTCTAAAAAATAGCCTGGACTGAAAGTTCAGAACATTTCAAGATTAGTCAGTTTCCTAATGGTTAGTGGTGTGTGCGCACACATTTTTTTAAATGGTTGCAATTCCTTTGTTTTTGTCTTTCCTTTCAGAAAGAACCTGAAAGTGGACATATAAAATGTAATGCCTTTACTTCAGAACACTTTACAGACTAACTGTTAAAGGGCCACATAAGTGCCAAGTGCAGTATTAACTATACAGGAGGTCTTTGTTGTATTACAGCTACTTGTCACATTTTATTTTTTAAATGAGCTTTCTTGACAGCTGCACTGTCTTGTTAGATCCATTCCTCTGAAACACTCATAATAGTGTAAATTGGTTGCAAGGGAATTCTGTGGTTCATAAAACTGATTCTAATACAGTCCAAATGATATGTTCTGTCATATTACTTCTCCCAAAATGGGCTTTGACTTCAAAGTCATCAGCTGAGATAACAAAGCCTTCTCTTCTCTTGGCATTTTGCTAGCATGTGCACCAGCAATGCTTGGTGTGTGAGCATGCATAGAATTCTAAGGAGTCATAGGATTATAGTGGCCAATGTGGCTTAGTATATTGTGTGTCCTTTTTGTGGACTGTGTGATCTCTGGTTGAGCAAGAGGTATTTATAATGCCACAGAGACTGTTCAGTGAAGTGACTTTAGTTGGTTTAGAGACAAGTAGGAAGACTTATTTCTTCAGGGAGGGAACTGAAATTGCTAGTACAAGACCAAAAGCAGTGTGCCTGATGCAGGTATTGAGAAGAACTCAAAGTTAGCATTTTGTGGCACTTGGAAATAAGTTATTCTATGAAGGTCCAAGTGATCATTAGATTGTAGGACTAATCAGATTGTAGAGCCAAGCTCCTTCTAAATAAAATAAAATATATAAAAAAAATCCAATAAGATCCCATGAAATCACAAAGTTGAACTTGCTCTTTACATTTTTGTTTCCTGTGATAATTTAGTGCTTAATGAAAGGTTCCAAATTGGCAAATTGATTGAAATCCTATATCTGCAGAGCAGCAGCTGCTCTGACAATAAGAGCGAATGGAAGAGAAGAAGCTTGTAGTGGAAGAGCTGGACATGCCAAAGTCTGTGGGTCCCGATCTAATGCATCCAAGGTTTCCTCCAGAGATGGTGTGGCTATATGGGAATAGGAACAGATGCAGCAGGGACGGGTGAAGGTGGACTGAAGGGTTGAGGAGACTTGGAGTGAGGGGCCATCACTGAAGGATGAGGAATTGATGGATTGGAGGCACTAAAAGGGGTAGGTGATCGATACAGCTATGAGATCTGAGCAGGGAATGAATGCTTTTCTTCTGCACAAAGGTGGTGCTGCTGGATTGCAGATCTTTCTTGTACCTAAATTGTAATTGGGGGAGATAATTTTTTTAATGCAAAGTACATGTTTAGAAAAAAGAAAAAAGGAAGACAACAAACTTCCCCACTCCCTTCAACTGGAAACTTACATGCTGGGACATGGGTATGGACTCACAGAGGTAACTGACTCATGAAGAGGAGCAGTCTGAGCGCAGGACTGGGAGATGAGCTCCTGAGTTCTAATTCTGGCACTGATGCTCTCGTGGTGGCCATGGGTAAGTCAGTTAGGCCAAAAATTTCAAGACTGTCTAGTGCTTTTGCCTGTCCAACTTGAGGCACCGTGGCCCTCACTTTCATAAGTATATAGCACCTCTCATTCCAACTGAATTTAAAAGAGAGCTACAGATATTCAGCACCTCCGAAAATGTGGCTCAAGGTGTAATAGGCACCCAAAACCAGTGATCCTGTCTAAAAATATGGGCTTCCACCTCTGTGCCGCAGTTATCCTTGACCTAAGATCAGTATTACATGTATTGCCACACTTGTTATCAGCTCCAAAGTAGCCCCATGGGAGCACATTTTCAGAGCTGTTTGGGGGTGATCAGCAGCATGATGCCCATTGACTTTGACAGCTTCATCTCTGCTTAACGTATCAGAAACATGGGATAAAACACACTTCCACTGCTAAGGCATCTTCATCTCCAGTTCATTCCAGGGTACTTCAGGAATTAGCTGAAGCAATCTTGAAACCGTTAGCAATTATATTTGAGAACTCCTGGAAGACGGGTGAGGTCCCAGAACACCAGAAGAATAATAGGGTTATAAGGAATAGCCAGCATGTATTTGTCAAGAACAAATCATGCCAAACCAACCTAATTTCCTTCTTTGACAGGCTTATTGGCCTAGTGGATGGGGGAAGCAGTAGCCATCATATATCTTGATTTTCCTAAGGCTTTTGACACAGTCCCACATGACATTCTCCAGAAGTAGGGCTCTGTGTCTGTCACGGAGGTCGTGGAAGTCACGGATTCCGTGACTTTCTGCAACCTCCATGACTTCTGCAGTGGCCTGTGTGACTGACTCCAGGGCTGCCCAAGTAGCTGGCTCTGGGGCCAGTTGCTCAGGCAGCCCTGGGGCCGGCTGCGCCGGCCGCTGCTGGAGTGGACCCGCAGCTAGCCACACCGACCACTGCTCTGGAGGCCCCAGGGACAACTGCACCAGCCACTGCTCTGGAGGCCCCAGGGACAGCCGCACCAGCCGCTGATGAAGTGGCCCTGGAACCAGCTGCATCGACCACTGCTCAGGCAGCCCCGGGCAGCTGGCCCTGGGGACTGCCCCAGCAGCACCCCCCCAGGGTGGCCCTTCCCCCCCTGCAGCAGCACACCCCCACCCTCCACCCCCACCCCAAGGTTTAGTCAGGAGTATTTATAATATAAATCATGGATAGGTCACAGGCTGTGAATTTTTGTTTATTGCCTGTGACCTGTCCATGACTTACTAAAAATACCCATGAGTAAATTGTCCATAAGCAAACTAGGGAAATGTGATCTAGATCAAATTACTATAAGATGGGTGAACAACTGGTTGAAAGACCATACTCAAAGAATAGTTATTGATGGTTCATTGTCAAACTGGGGGGATGTATCTAGTGGGGTTCCGCAGGGGTGAGTCCTGGGTCCAGTACTATTCAATATTTTCATGAATGACTTGGATAATGGAGTGGAGAGTGTGCTTAAAAAATTTGCAGGGTGACATCAAGTTGGGAGGAGTTTCACACTGTGATGGGGTGTACAAACCCCACACTGAGCAACAAGGGCTTAAGGGCTCATTTTGGGCTCAGCCAGCCCTCCCCCGCCACACCTGCAGTAAATGCTCCATCTGCTGGAGGAATTAAAAGGCAGCAAATTAGCTCAGTTGGTGAGCAGTGCTGAAGGTGAGCAGACCTACAGCCCACAGCTCCAGAAGTTAAAAACTTCTGCGTCTCCTGCCCGGAATGCCAGCTAGTCAGGCCAAAAGGGGGGATGAAAGCCCCCCTCATCCCTCTCCCGGTCATCGATGTCCCCTTCGAATGAATTGGGATAGACCTTGTAAGCCCCCTGGAAAAAAGTGCCGCCAGATACAAACACCTATTGGTGATAGTTGATTTTGTGACTCGCTATCTGGAGGCAATCCCACTCCATAACACCAATGCAAAGACTATTGCCATTTAACTTTTGAAAGTCTTTGCTTGAGTAGGAGTTCCCAGGGAGATTCTCACTGACCAAGGCACCAATTTCACATCCCGCTTGATGAAACAGGTCTGTGAGCTTTTGAGAATAAAGAGCCCCCGTACCTCAGTTTATCACCTGCAAATGGATGGCCTGAAGGCTTCAACCGAGCCCTGAAGCGGATGCTGAAAAGGTTTATGCCAGAAGACCTCCCACATTGGGATCAGCTGATTCCCCCCCCCTCCTGTTTGCCATCCCACAGTCCTCTACAGGCTTCTCCCCATTCGAGCTCCTGTATGGGAGACGGCCCCGGGGAATCCTTGACCTGGTCCTGGAGATGTGGGAAGGCCAAACTCCGAGAACTCAGAATGTCCTACAGTACTTCAGGGGGAGACTTGAGACTGTGGGAGCTGTGGCTAAAGGAAACCTCCTCACCACCCAACAAACCCAGGAACCCTCTTATAACAAGGGAGCGCGGGTACGCACTTTCAGGCCAGACGATCGCGTCCTCCTTCTACTCCCGAGCACAGAGTCTAAACTGCTGGCCAAGTGGCAGGGACCCTATGAAATTGTGTGCCAAGTCGGGCCAGTCAATTATGAAGCTAGACAACGTGACAAACAGAAGCCCACCCAGGTCTATGACATCAACCTGCTGATGGCGTGGAAAGAACGAGAAAGTCTATTCATCATCCCGTGCGCCCCAGCGCCAGAACTGTGGCCCCAAGTACCTTACGCCCTGTCCCCAGGGGCTATACAGGTGGGGGAACAACTTTGTCCTGAACAAAGAGCCCAGGTGTCGAGCCTAGTGAAAGCCTTCCCAATGGTGTTTTCCTACCTACCAGGAAGGACCCACCTCACACACCACCACATCCAGCCTGAACCTTGGACGGTATTGCTGCCACCACCAAGTGATTTACACAAAATTTCAGGGAAAGGTCACTTGGAATCCCTATCCCCCCAAAATATCCCCCAAAGCCCCTTCACCCCCTTTCCTGGGAAGGTTTGAGAATAATATACCAATCAATTGGTTAGCAGTGTGAGCACAGACCAGACCCTTTGTCTTCAGGACACTGAAAATCAATCAGGTTCTTAAAAGAAGAACTTTATTTGTAAAGAAAAAGTAAAAGAATCACACCTGCAAAATCAGGATGGAAGGTAACTTTACAGGGTAAATAAAAAGATTTTAAACACAGAGGATTCCCCTCTGGCTCAGCTTCACAGTTACAAAAACAAGAATAAAACTACTTCTGTAGCATAGGAAAATTCACAAGCTAAAACAAAAGATAACCTAACACATTTCCTTGCCTTACTTACAATTTCCGTGATTTTAGATGGAATATTCCAGGTATATTTTCAGGAGATGTTGTAACTGCTTGGCTTCTCTCTCCGTCCGGAGAGGGAACAACAAAGAGAGAGCCCAAACACCCCCCCCCCCCACCTGAAAATATATTTTCTGATTGGTCCTTCTGGTCAGGTGCCAACTAGGTTATTTGACCTACTTAACCCCTTACAGGTAAGGTGATTCAGTACAGCTGCCAAGGAGGGATTTTATGCTACCCTTCTCTCTATATTTATGACAGGGTCATTGAGGAATTCCACAGTGAGTGGCGAAGCCCTGTCGTATTAGTCCCAAAACCGCATGGCACTGTCCGGTTTTGCATTGACTTCAGGAAGGTTAATGCAATCTCCAAATTTGATGTCTACCCCATGCCCCAGGTGGATGAATTACTAGACCGGCTGGGCGAAGCTCAGTACATCACCACCTTAGACTTTACAAAGGGGTATTGGCAAATCCCACTCACACCAGAATCGCAAGGAAAAATTGCTTTTGCCACTCCATTCGGTCTGTACCATTTTTGAACTATGCCCTTTGGACTCCATGGGGCACCCACGATGTTCCAACGCCTTATGGACCAGGTGTTGCAGCCCCATAACTCATACGCTGCAGCCTATTTAGATGATGTAGTCATCTACAGCCGAACCTGGGAAGAACATCTGGCCCAAGTGGCGGCCATGCTCTGCTCCCTGCAACAGGCTGGACTAACAGCAAATCCTGCAAAATGTAAAATAGGGAAAGAGGAAACCACCTACCTGGGATACATTTTGGGGAAAGGCCAGATCCGGCCCCTTATAGATGAAGTCCAGGCCCTCAAGGACACCCCACGACCTACCACCAAGAAACAGGTCAGGAGTTTGGGACTTGCTGGTTACTACTGTTGGTTTGTACCAAGATTCTCGATGATCGCAGCCCCTCTCACAGACCTCATCATGAACGACATCCCCAAGAAAGCACACTAGTCCGAGGCCTGTGAAAAGGCCTTTCAAGAATTGAAAGAACGCCTCTGTACAGAACCAGTCCTATTCAGTCCAGACTTCTCCAAAGAATTCATTTTGCTTCCGATGTGGGACTCGGCGCTGTTTTATCTCAGGAAATAAAGGGGGAGGAACACCCAGTGCTCTATTTGAGTCGCAAGCTGTTCCCACGAGAACAAGCCTACTCTGTCATAGAGAAGGAGGGCCTGACAGTGAAATGGGCCGTAGACTCGCTCTGATACTACCTCCTGGGAAACCCATTCAAGCTCGTCACCGACCATGCCCCATTAAGATGGCTAAACACCATGAAGGACACAACTCCCCGACTGATGTGCTGGTACCTGTCTCTCCAACCCTACGCATTCCAAATTCAGCATCGAGCTGGGGAAGCGCACCAGAATGCTGACTTCTTTTCCAGGGAAGAGGGGGCACAATTGGATGGCCCCGACTCCCCAGGCTCCATCTTGAGCGGGAGGGTGTGTGATGGGGTGTACAAACCCCACATTGAACAACATGGTCTTAAGGGGTCATTTTGGGCTCAGCCAGCCCCGCCCCGCCCCACCTGCAGCAAATGCTCCATCTGCTGGAGGAATTAAAAGGCAGTGAATTAGCTCAGTTGGGGAGCAGTGCTGAAAGTGAGCGAAGGCCTTGGACTGAGGTGACCCCAGGAGGGGAGACAAGAGAAAGAGGCCCAGGGAGGACAGCCTTAAGTAGTCTTGGTTGCCAGGTTACTGGTAGCTAAAAGGACTCTGGGTCGGAGCCTGGTAGAGTGGGAGGGCCCGGGCTTCCCTCCCCCACAACCCCCATGGCAGTCCAGGGTTGTGGCCATTACCACTAGGCCACGCTTCCCAACCAGACCCTGTGTGGAGACCATTACACACACACTTTGGGGGACAGGATTAGAATTCAAAATTATCTTGACAAATTGGAGAATTGGTCTGAATTCACCAAGATGAAATTCAGTAAAGACAAGTGCAAAGTATTTCACTTAGGAAGGCAAAATCAAGTGCACAGCTACAAAATGGGGAATAACTGAGTAGGTGGTAGTACTGCATTTGATACGAGATGTCATAAGCATCCCACAGTTATTTCCTGATATTAGTAGTGGGAGGAAAAATTGTTATGGATATCACTGTGGTAACTTGACAAATGCAGACTTTCTAATGGCGACTTCTGTACTGGACGTGCTTCTCTCATAAAGCTGCCTGGATGGATAGAAAAGGAGGGAGGCCTTAGAATTTCACTACTCTGCATCATTTGGAAAGTGTTTTTGGTTGACTGTCCTCTTTAGTGTAACATCCCCCGGGGTTTGATAAACACAGGAAATTACAAGGCATATGATGTAGCAAAGGAATGTGCAGGGAAGGAGAGCTACATGCATATATTGCATCCTCCAACTTGACAGTAGTTTGTATCCTGATCTAGTATAGGATATGTTGTCTCATTTTCTCATTATTTTAAAAAAGGTATTAATATAGTACTTCTAAAAACTACTAACAAGGCTTTGTGAATAACCAGGCAGTGTGTTAGCTTCCCTGTGCAGTATGCCTCAGTGCTGTCTGGGGGAGCATGGATCACGTCACACTCTCCATCAATACCTGGCCTGGGCCGGGGAAGCTAATGATCCAACCAGCAGACCAAATTTGGTGGTGAATCGTGGTCACATGCCACTTGAGGCAAGTTGCCCGTACACTAAGGAGAAGCGCTGTCTGGCAAACCTAGCCCTGGGACTTGTAACCAGTCCTGTGTACCATATTAGTGCGGTGTGAAGAAATAGTCACTAGGGCAGTGGTCCCCAAACTTTTTACCTTGCGCCTCACCTTACCCCTGGCTGCTCCCTCCCCCAGAGCCAGGGCCGAGAGTGGGGCCACGGCTCCAGGAGGGGGGGTGGGGATTGGATTAGGGGGCCGAGACTGGGGCCACAGCTTGGGGCAGGGCTGGTAGCCAGGGCCCTGGGCGTGGGGCCAGTAGCCTGGACCCCAGGTACAGGGCCGTGAGCGGAGCCTCAGGTGCGGGGCCAGGAGCAGAGCCATCAGTTGGGGCTGGCGACAGGAGTGGAGCTGGGTGGGGCTCCTTCCCTGCCACCTGCAGGGGCTGGCCCAGGCCCCAGCCGCTTCTTCCCGAATGTTCCTCCATGCCCCCCTAAAGGGGCGCGTCTCACAGTTTGAAGACCTCTGCACTAGGGAATAGTCTGAGTAATGTTTAATTCTGACTGGAGTTTAATTTAGGTCTTCAAAGGCAGAAATGAATGCATGAAACCATAGTGTTCCATTTACTGCATGGCTTGTTTCATAGCCAGAGGATATTGAATAAGAACTGACTCTTTCAAATCTGCTTGAGTATTAAAGCATAATTTACCTGACTGCTCCCTACATCTATGAGCCCACATCCTTCCTCCCATTGTGTGCTGTGACACCCAGCTGGCAGGGGTATGACATAACAAGCAGCATGTATGTTGTAGGTAGCTGATGAGTATGGATTTTGGGGGGACCTGGGAGATACAGATTTATAGGGGACACATCAATTTAAAGCATAATTCTGTTTGGTTTTTTTTTACAAGTGACACCTGGCTGTATAACTCAAGCATCAGAGATCATCTATCTTTATGTATGCTTAGTTTGTTTACTTTGTGCATTTGACAGCACTTGTGTGTAGTCATTTTCTGTTTCCCCTATTTGGAAAAGTGTGGTTTCCCCCCTTCTTACTTTGAAAGAGAAATGTGAATTGTAAATGGGCTATCTGGACATGTTTTAGGGCAGGAAATAACTTTTGCAATGTCAGTTTTCTTATTACCTTGCTTAATAGCTTATCCTTATAGTCTCAGGTATTATTGACTATGTACTAAATATGGCAGTAACATGCTGATCTGCATTTGAACCAGACATATTGTAATTGTAACCTGCCTCTAAATGAGGGCTTCTTATGGATTTAATTTGCATCTCTAATCCAGTATCTTGTTTTGATGTATGGTGCAGGGTAAGGCTTTGCACCTGCAGAGAATGACGAATGTAGACTGAATAAAACATTTCTAATTAATGGCATTCAGCGAGATCAAAACACACAGAGAGGGAAGATTTTTTTCCTTCACTCAGCGGAAAAAATAACATGTCTAAAACAAGGCAGCAGTACCATTCTAGTCAGCAGGCTTTGGACCAACCAAAGACAAACACTTTCCAGACAAATGGAAGCTTTAAAAGCTTGAAACACAAGCACCACACCCCAGAATTTCAGATTGTGTTGGTGCTGCAAAGAGTGTAAGACCAAACTAGCAAGGTGCTGCTGAATAGTGTAAAAGATGCATGCGTGAGTGAGGAGCTCTTGAATCAGAATCTCTTAACAGTACATCTCTCACTCCCAAACTTGAATGGTTAGGCATTGGTGCTTGTGATGATCTCTGCTGGGCAGATCAAGAAATGGACTGGCTTTGGCAGACAATGCCACATCTCCCAGTTCTGATAGTTCGGTAATAACTATCTCACAGATCTTTCCTCTATGTTAGACACATTTTTTTACTTCATTTGTGCACACTTCAATGGGATTTCTGTGTGGTCAGGACTCCTTGTATTTGTTTTAGCCCGGGAGTTCTCTGGTGCTCCCACAGGGTAGAACAAATGCTAGTAGGCTGTCTCAGGGATCTCTTCCCTTCCCATTTGTGATTATGTGGGTCTCCTCCCCTCCACGTGCAACTGGGCAACAACCTTGTGGCATCTTCAGCCACTGCTTCCATGGAAAGGTAATATTGGGAAGGTATCTGATGTATTTTTAGCATGTAATGGAGTTTAGCAGTTGGAAACAAGAAGTAGAGCGGACACTACATGACCAGCCAACATTACATGGGCAGTCAATGAGTACTTTGTGGACCACAGACCACAGCTGGAAAATGGCTGTACAAGGTTGTATTGAAGGAGAAAGGAAAGATTCTAGAGCCTTCGTATTCTATTTATATCAGATTGACTGCATATGATGGGAATTCTATGATTATTATTGTGAAAGTGAAAAATCTAATCCATATTTGCTCCAAAATCTGCTGACCTGAATGGCACTGCTGTTTCAGCATTCACTAAGGGGGGATGGGGGTGGCAGAAATGGGCTTTAAGTATTTATACTATCTATCTATCTATCTGTCTTTCACTGATCTCTTTGCCAGTATAATCTCAACACCTGGAATATTGTGTTGTAACTTTTTTTGTCTTAGAGTGACCAGTCCTGGAAATCTTACAATCCTTCTCATTTTTGCAAAATTATGTAAACTTGTAAGACTCGGGCTGGGATTTTTAAAGCAGCCTAAGGGGATTAGGCACCCAAATCCCATTGAATTTCAGTGGTATTTGGACAACTAACTCCTTTAGGATCCTTTGAAAATTGCAGCCTACATATATCAAATTATAACAGATTGTCTTCCTAGAAATACCTTACTCAGTCAGCAATCTGTGTTTCTCTTCAGGTTTTTGGATTATAGAGAAACATGGGCAATTTCAAAGGTCATGCTCTGCCTGGGAGTTTTTTCCTCCTCTTTGGCTTGTGGTGGTCAGTGAAGTACCCACTAAAATATGTCTGTCGAAAGAACAAGAATGCTTGTTACCTTGGTTCCAGGGCAGGATTTCAGCGCCTGGAATTTATTGAGGGGATCGTCAAAGCAGTATTTGCCCTGATTGGTAAGTAAGACTCTGATTTTAAAGAGACAGAATAAAAAGATGAGGGCCACGCTAGTTAATATTTTTATCTTTTAAAATGATCTATTTACTGTCAGTTTTATTATAGAGCTGGTCATTGTTTTAAAAAAAAACCCTAAAGCCCATGAATTAATGTCATAATAACAGTGAGGGTGATTAACCATTACAACAAACTACCCAGGGAAGTGGTGGATTCTCCACCTCTTGATGTCTTCAGATCAGGGGCGGCTCTATGTATTTTGCTGCCCCAAGCACGGCAGTCAGGCAGCTTTCGGTGGCTCACCTGTGGGAGGTCCGCTGGTAACGCGGATTCGGCAGCATGCCTGCCGCCCTCACGGCAACCGGCACGCCGCCCCCCACGGTTTGCCGCCCCAGGCACGCGCTTGCGCTGGTGCCTGGAGCCGCCCCTGCTTCAGATCAAGGCTGGAGGCCTTTCTAGAAAATATGCTTTAGCCAAACACAAGTTATTGGGCTCATACAGGGGTAACCGGGTGAAATTTAATGATTGTGGAAGACATATATACAGAGGTCTGACTAGATGATCTAACGGTCCCTTCTGGCCTTATAGTCTATGAATAATTGGAGTCACATTTAGTCATTCCATAGTTAAGCTTGTAACATGTTTCCCGGCTAAAGCTGAATTTTGAAGCCCCGTTAAGATCCGCACACTCTCACACGTATCAGTTTGCCAGTTCAGGGGTTGGGATAGAGGTTGTGGTGCAAAGGTGTGGTCATTGACCTGGGGCTCTCATATGCAAACTGGAAACTGCAGGCAGGGTGGGCAGTGCTTGCCCTTTTTGAATGTACTACATTATGATTTCTGTCCATTGCTGTAAATGGGTTTTGAGGGCAGCTCTGTGAGCGCTTCCCAGCTTTCAGATGTCACCGGCTTCCAATGAATATTAATAGAACACGTGAATGTAGAATGCTGTCTACCTGGTGAAATTCAGAAGTGAAAATATCTACCCTTTTTTAAAAGAACCAAACCTTTTGAGCAGCAGAATCACTACCTGAGATTGCCACTTCACATTCTGTTATGGGATAGCTTAGAAACAAAGCAAAATGAAAGCCAGACCGATGGCTTAGTGGACTAAGCAGCTGATTTGAAACCTTTGTCTCGTTCAAATCACAGCACAGTTTAATTTAGCAGTTTTCCCTTAGGAAGCAGGTAAACTGAGTATTTGGGAGCTCACTGTGTGTGGTCTCAAGACTTAGATATTGAAATGGGGCCACAATGTTACATTTAGCTATTTGCTTTGTGGGGATAATAAAGATTCCATGGTATTTCTAATAAGACATGGGCTTTGTCCTCTTCTGCTCTGTCACAGTCTCCTTCCTGCTTGTCCCCACCCTACTGACCTCCAGTTGGCCACTGCCCTCCACCCCAGAGATGGCTGCACTTCAGTGATGCTGTATGATATGTACAATTATATATTATCCCCTTACAGAAAAGTTCTCTTCAGATCCTCTGTGAGATCTGTAGAGCTGATATTCTGTTGGAATGCAAAATACTAAATCAGTGCTTTCTTTTTTGCTGCAGCAATGTATTGTTTTACTGTATTTTAACTTATCCCTCAATCCAAAGTGTGGACAGGAAAGACTGAGGGAGAAGGAATGAAAGCTCCAGTGTTGGAGTATATGGATGTGCTGAAACAAATTTGAAACAAATCTGCATTTGCTCTTTAATATAACAACTTGTATCCTGTAGGGGGATAGTGGGATCCATTATGCTACATACAATCTTCAATGTAAAATATATATTTAGATGTATAGAGTGTCTCAACACAAAGGGCTTCACAAACTACCGTGTACACTCAAAATACCACTCAAATGCAGCCTTCACTGGGATGGAGGGTTGTAGCTACATAACTGTTTGCGGGTTGTCCAAAAAAAGCAGCTTAAATCCCTACTTTTAGCAAAAAGTCCCATTGGAGCTTTAATGCCCATGCACAGCAGAGAGGGACCGCTGCCTTTAAGGCATCATAGGAAAGATCCCCAGGAAGTCAACTAATTGGCATACCAATGTATGTACTGCAGGGGGGTGAAAAGCTAAGGTGTCCCTGCTAGGACTTGAACTTGTGGTTCTAATCTAAGGAGTCAAGAGATGTCAAACCCATTCTTAAGCCACTGTTTATCCAGAGAAAAAGATTGTTCAAGGTTTAGTCAGGTGATCACAGACAATAGTAAACATTTGATTAGAAAGCAGCATAAAGTGGTGATCTGCACTGTTAATGGCTGCATGATACCAGACAATAGCACGACTGGCCTGCTGCTGCTGCTGAGTAAAGTACTGTCTTTACTGAATGGCTAAAGACTTAAAATCTGTCTGTACCCTAATTAAGCTCCAGGATAGCCACCAATGCTTCCCCTGGTATTTCATATGCAGGTATGATAGCTGAGCAGTTTGTTCCTGATGGGCCTCATCTGAAGTTGTATAATTATGAGGAAAAACACTGGGATCACTTGATGAACTGGCAGCATGCCACCATGTATCTCTTCTACGGCATCTCAGGGCTGGTTGACATTGTGGCTCATGGCACCAATGCATTGCCAGTGGCCTTGGATAGGATGATGCTTTCGTTAGCAGTTTTCATTGAAGGTGAGTTTACTCGTGTGTACAGAACCTGGAGGAAAATGAGGAGCCAATCAACCAAATATATTATTATTTATTATTATTAAAGTAGAAATTATTTGGACTAAAACTGAAGCCTAAGGGAGTTAAGTTCCCAAATTTCAATAGGAGTTGGGCACTTAACTCCCTTAAGCTCCTTTGAAAAATCTCAGCCTTGATCCGCCTAGATTTTAACTAAGTGCATTATAGCATCACCTTTGCTACACTTTAGAGACAGTTTGGTAATATTTTATGTTAATCCCATTTTTAATTAAGGATTATAGGGCAAATCCCCTCCCTGTTTCCCAATCAGAGGAGTGGGCTGGGCTTTGGGGAGAGTCACAGGGGAAATGTGAGGAATCAACATCCTTTTCCCGCTGTCCTCCAAACTGGCTGTGGGGCAGCAACTGAGCTACTTTATGGAGCTGCACCCACCTCAGTGTTATATGGTGATCAGACTATATAACTATAACCCGACTATAAAAGCATGTATGTATGTATGTATGTACAATTACATGTCTCCTCCTTCCTTCCTTTTGTGCCTGCTTCCGTCTTATAGTACAAAGGGGCCTAATCCCGATTGGGGCCTCTGGGTGCTACCATAATATAAATATTACCTTTGTGCATTTCTAAGCTTAACTCACTAGGGAATAAACATTTTAAAGGGAACTTGATACAGAGGGAGCAGTTCACAGTTTCTAGTGGGAGATGAGGGGAACTGTTGGATGTCATTAAAACAAATGCCTGGTATTGTACTGTTCTGTCTTAAAAGATTGATCAGTTCCTATGTTGTCACAGGTTTTCTCTTTTATTACCACATACATGGGCGAGCCATGCTGGATTTTCATGTTCATCAGTTACTTTTAGTGGCTATCTTTGGAGCAGCTTTTTGCATATTTCTGGAAGTCTTCTTCCGCGGCAGCATTGTCCTTGAGATGCTCCGGACGAGTCTCTGCATTCTGCAAGGTAGCTGGCTCTGGCAGGTGAGTCAATGTTTCCAGCTATTAGGATTCCCTCCTTTGATTGTAATACTTGCTTTATCCCTTTGCTGCTTCTCCATTGGCATGCTGGTACTTCAGATGTGACCTACTATGCATTTACACAGTGCCTTTTATGCACAGATCTCAAAGCACTCATAAATAACGACTAATCTTGAATTTCCCTGTGAGGATATAGAAGTGCTTAGTACACATTTTACAGATGGGGAAGCCATTTTACCAGTACATCTGTTTTCCCAAGGCCAGATATTGACTCAATGCGTGAACTAAGAATAGAACCCAGGAGTTCAGATTCAGTCCTTTGCTGTAATGACTAGACATTCCCAACCCTGGAAAATACTGTATGAACTATGTAAACCAACAGTTACTTAGTGGTGCTACATAAATGCAGTGTTTTTTTACAGATAAAGTAAGTCCACAATTCAGAAAAACTGCAGGAAAATTAATAAGTAAATGCTCATCAAAGCACAGTCAAGGTAGAAGATGGAGGAAAGGCCATGTGAACAATTCATTGGCATTGCTGTAAAGAGCAGCGGTGGCTCCAGGCACCAGCGCTCCAAGCACGTGCCTGGGGTGGCAAGCCGCGGGGGGCGCCCTGCCGGTCCCTGTGAGGGCGGCAGTCAGGCAGCCTTCGGCGGCATGCCGTGGGAGGTCTGCTGGTCCCGCGGCTTCGGCGGCAATTTGGCGGCGGGTACACCGAAGCCGCGGGACCGGCGGACCTGCCACAGGCATGCTGCCGAATCTGCGGAACCGGGGACTTCCCACAGGCATGCCGCCAAAGGTGGCCTGCCTGCCGTGCTTGGGGCAGCAAAAAAGCTAGAGCCGCCCCTGGTAAAGAGGCAGGAAAGGGAGCAGTATCTTGAATGTGTTGGATTGGTCCCATCTCTCTTTTTCCTAAAAAAAAATCTCAAGTGATCAGTCTATATCCTGATTCATCACTCCAAGCACAGCTTGCCAGTTTCAAAACTTTGGAAGTGGAACAGGTAAAACAAGTGCCCCAAACTTTAATACTTCAGCAATATGGGCACTAGCATCAGTCACGAGCATTACCTCATATAAGTCTAATAGACATTCCTATCACCATTTTGTCATGCCATATACTTAGTTGGTGTTTAGTAGACATACACTAATTAATTTGCTACTCTCAGGACAGTGTACTCATGAGAGAAATGGTGGTAAATATTGGTTGTATAAATCACTGCTGTCTAACAACAGAAGTAGGAATATCAGCAATCTTATGCTGGAGAACTGTGGTTGCTATAGTAACTTTTCTTTTCCTTATGTCTAGACGGGTTCCCCCTTTTTTTTTTTTAAACATGTTGGCCAGACATGGTGAATGAAAATGTGTGGGGTTCTTTAGAAGAACTAGACATTTAGCACCAAGTCAAATATTTAAACACTTGCACTAGCAAAAAAAGAAACCTCTTCAATTGCAAACTTTTCCATAATTGAGCTCAAGAAAAATGTCCAGTGTCTCAGAACTTACTGCTGTATTTTGTTGTTCCATGATTTTTTTCTCTTGACTAAAAAGTTTTACAACAGAATAGTTAGACATAGTCATTTAGCTTTCCTTGTCTATCTTGTCCTCATTAAGAGAGGTAACTTATTACAACACAAGGAATTAAATAGAAAAACAGAAGAGTTCTCAGATACAAGGGTGGCTTTTTTGACACTTGCATGACAGACTTCAACTCTATGTGTGGATTGAATACCACATACTGGCTGCAGAGTGGCAAGTTTGTAAAAGATGAGCAGCTTTCCTTTTGTATTGCCAATGCCCTGATTAATCAGATTCTCTGCATGTGAAGCAAAATACAGTCAATCCAACTCAAATGTTCTCAGCCAGACTGTTGAGAACTGATGCTAGAGGGGACAAGATAGCCTAAGGAACCAGTACTGTTCAAGTGAAACCCTGGTCAACAATAACAGTCGCTAGCATCTGATTGCTGTTTGATGGCTTATGTGAAAATAGTTTGATCTCTTCCAGCTCCTAATAGACTGGTGTCCATGTCTCAAAAAGTCACCATCATAAGGGGCACTAGCTTGGATAAATGTGTTAAATTTTTGTAATAGTTTGGAAAGAAATCTCACTCGCCATCTATAGAATACATACAGTTCTTATTAGTCTTTACTGATTTAATAAAAAGTGACACTGAAACATGTTTTCAACATGTAAGTTAAAGTCCCCTCTCTTGAAATGAATAAATAATTAAAATCCAACCATTATTGTTTGCAATCTAACCTGATTATTGCCCCCCTCCCGCAACAGAATCTTATTAATAACCAGGCTTTTGGAGAAGGGGGAATGCAATAAGGGCTAGTATTTGTGGGTAGGTGGGTAATCTTTGACTCTGACAGTTTTCTGGCTGGTAGTGTTTCCCACTTTCAGAGTACAGAAGGAGAGCCGCTACTCAGTCCTCTTGTACCACATAAGCCTGACTCTCACAGGATCAGTTGGGCTGGTGCAGAGTTCCCCTTCATAGGAGATAATACAGGGCTCTCTGGAATTGGCCCTGTATCTTTGATGGAATTTATTTGTCTTTCAGCACTACAGTGCAGTTTTAGAAATAATCTAATTTAAGTATGATGCTGTAAAATTGTTTTGTTATAATGTTCTTAGATGTAATCTTCAATACACTTAAAAAAACAATCTGCAAACGTTTGCCGTGTGACCTATGCCCGACATGTAATGCATGGTATGGCTCAGAACAAATGTCAGATGAATGTTATTAAATAAATTTAATTTAATTACAGATTGGTTTTGTACTTTATCCTCCAAATGGCAGACTGGAATGGAACCAAATGGATCACAATAATATGATGTTCTTGACAATGTGCTATTGCTGGCATTATGCCTTTGCTTTTCTTATACTTGCAATGAATTACACTATTGTCAGCTGGTAAGTTAACTACAGAACTAAAACTTTGGAGAACCATGTGTCAGTTGCACCGAGTGTAGGACTTTAGGCTCATGGGATAAAGTCCCCCCCTCTCCTCCCAAGATAAAATAAAGATGGGCTTTGCTCATTCATGGCCATTACATCACTGATCATTCCAGTGAAAGGGAAAATAAGTACTTTGTGAACAGAATGGTATTTCACCATTGTTAACTGGCATCTCATGTAAATTGAGCTACTTTTGACATTGTTTAGAATTGCATTACAAAAATCAGAGCTGGAAAATACCTTCTAGATCAGTGGTTCTTAACCTTTCAAGACTACTGTACCCCTTTCAGGAGTCTGATTTGTTTTTGGTACCGCAAGTTTCACCTCCACTTAAAAACTACTTGCTTACAAAAGCATAAAAATACAAATGTGTCACAGCACACTATTGCTGAAAAACTGCTTACTTTCTCATTCTGTCTGTATGAAATTTTGGTTTGTATTGACTTTGCTTGTGCTTTTTATGTAGCCTGTTGTAAAACTAGGCAAATATCTAGATGAGTTGATGTACCCCCTGGAAGACCTCTGCAAATCCCCAGGGGTATTCTACCCCTGGTTGAGAACCACGTTCTAGATCGCTAAGAATCAAGATGGGGCAGTCCCTACAGCATGGTGACAGATAGTGCTTGTCTGTGCCAGTTTTAAATGGCTCAAGACAAGTGGCTATTACCACTTCATTTGGAGACTGTTGCACAGACCAAACAGATTTCATTGTTAATATTTTCCCATGACTAAATTTTCTTTTGGCCAGTTTTATCCCATTATTCCTAACTATAGCCATGTGCCTGGTCTCACAGTGTTTAATCTGAGAAAACCCCCACTGAAGTCCTGATTTTCCGTGGAATGGTATATTGGAGGAATCAGGTTTGATCACTGTGACAGCAATGTCTAGCCCATCTACCTGTTGTATCATCTTCCTTGGTGTTTATACCTTTTTCCATTTTTGTAGGCAGTTATATCCCTGCTCGGTCATCCTTTGGCCATATTTAGTTCTTCCAGTTTTTCCTCATAAATCAGTCATTCTGGCTCCTTGATAATAAAAATGATTAACTTTGTGTCCCCTGTAACAATAACCAGATCAGCATTTGAGTCGTTGTTTAGTTTAGAATGTAAAATTACGTGGCAAACCTCTTCTTTCCTTTCCCCCCACTGTCTCCAGGGTAGTTCGTTCAAAGATTAAACAGGCCCAGTCCGTGGAGATGGGATTACTGAAAACATCCGAACGAGATCAGGAATCAGAAGACGAAATCTAGTTTTGTATAAATTCTGTTTTACCACTTTGCCTTCTTCATCATTAAGATAATTTTTACCTCATTTCTAGACTAGTTTACCATCTTGTTTGTTCTTCATATAACTCGCTATGCAAGTATCATCCATAAAGTACTGTATACTGCTACATAATTAGATTCTTATTTGCAGAGTGTAGGCCTTATATTAATGTGGTGTTTCCATTAGTACATTGTTCATCACATGCTTTAGTGGAAAAATATTTTCCTATTAGATGAACTTAGATTGGATGGGGTGACATTGTCAAGTAAAAATCAATTCAGCCCATTAATAGCTGAGCAACATGTTCTCCTCCTGCTGTTGGAGAAACTGGTAAATTTCCATATCTAAATATGTCAAAAAAGCTGAATTTGCTGAATTGCCAGGCATGTACATAAAATAATTGTACAGAACTTTAAAACAATGGAATAAGCACATTATTGATGGAGACCTACATCTGCATTGTCAAGAATATCTTTGCTTGTTGTTTCAAATGAAATAGCAAAAAACTGCAAATTGCAAACCCATGTAGCATTTATCTGCACAGTCTATCCTTTGTTCGTTACCACATGTGCTCTACCAAACTTCTGCAAGGAGATCAAGTAAGTGTAGAAATGACCACTGGGATTGCCCATCATGAGGGGAAGTTACTCATTGTAGTGACTTGACACTCCTATCACCCTTCGCTTTGACAAGCAGTACATTGACCCTACTTTACAGCCAGGGGTATTGGAACAATTTTTATAGTGGGGGTGCTGAAAGCCTTTGAACAAAACTGTAAACCCTGTATATGATGGAAACCATGTATGTGGTTGTTACTACTACTTCAAGCCAGGGGGTGCTGCTGCACCCCCAGCACCCTTAGTTCCACACCCCTGTTTACAGCAAGTATAGCAACTTTCTATAGAAAGGCTGCTGTATGTCAAACAGGGCAACATCAGGCGTCCAAGTTAATTCTGTACCCTAAATTCAGCTCCTTTCCCATACTGCAGTCTAGTGGGATTTCAGTAAGGCACTGGGGCAGTCACATAACTGGATGCAGTGCACAAATCCACATGCTGTGCTCAGCAATGGCAGCATATGTACTTGGACGCAGTCTGCAGCTGAGGGACCTGCTCTGTTCTCTCTGCACTCTCTTGGAGGATGTTGATCATTGTAGAATAGAGTGCTGTATGGACACACGCACACAGTGATCATTTTAAAATCAACTCCGCAGGCTTCTTTGTGCATTTCTGAATGTATAGTAATTTGTACTGTACAAATGATTCTGTGAGGTGCCAGGTTTCAACTCCTGCTGCCGTAAGGATACATTCCAATATGAATTGTAGGATTAGGAAATGAATAATACATGGCAAAGAACATTAGTGAGTCTTACTGCATGGAAGCATACTGCCCCCAGGAGGTTCAATACTTGAAGTACATCTGTAACACAACTCATTCTTTAAAAAGCCTATAGTAGTCATGACTGGACATCTGCCATTCAGCAACAATTACTCCTGGGAGAATTTTGCACCAAAAAATTAAAAATTCTGTTCACAATATTTTAAAATTCTGCATATTTTATTTGTCAAAATACTGCAATATAATCACTCTAAATAAATTACTAAAATAATTGAAACCAAACTACAATATAATGGATAGAGAATGGGAGTGGGGAGCAAATCCCCTTGACTAATAGTAATATAGCTAGGTGTGACCCTTTATTTCAAGTCAACAAATATATGCAGCCATATGCTCAGTGTTACAACATAGGCAATTGAGGGCAGGGGAATCAAACTCACAATTTATGTTGGCTACTGCCCATCTCTGAAAGGACAGTAGCCAACAGTTCATAGAGCACATTGTGATAGGAAATTTTTTCAGTACAAACATTTAGACCAGTTCTAATCACTAAAGCACCATCAGCATTTATAAGGCCATACTGTCTTGTACCCTGGGCACTCTGGCAATGTAAAGAAGCCTTAAAACTTTTACACCTGTTTTATACTCCTGGGGAAATTCACAAAGACAATGGGAACACTAAGCAGGCAGGCTCCTACATTCTGCTCTGCCTGAGGGGACAGAGCTTGCCCCATGCCTTCCTCCTCAGAAACATCCCGAAGCCCTGCCCCTCCATGCTGAATGTGCTGCAATAGCGAGTGAGAGGGACAGAGTGTCCCTCTCTCTCTCTCACATGCATCCCCCTCCCAGCAGTGATTTACATCTTTACCGGCACCTCTGAGCGCCCAAACTGACCTGCCTGCACTGCTGGGGAGGGGCACATAACAGGTCTTCTGGCTTCCCTTTGCTTCCCTGCCAGAAGTCATTTTTCTGTGAAGAAGCAAAAAAATCTGCAGGGATCATGAATTCTGTGCACGCACAGTGATGCAAAATTCCCCCAGGAGTAAACAATTCCTGTTATTGTAGGTTCCACTGCCAGAGAAGTGAGTACAACAGGAATTCTGAAGGCAATGGAACACAGCAGCCATCAACTGTAGGGCAGTTACTCTGCAAAAGGAGCCTCTTGCTTTCAGAATACATCCTTTTAAAATATTATTTATATATTATACTCATTGCATTTAAAAACAGGATGTTGCACAGTAACGTAATGTAAAAATTCCAGCCCACTGGGACTGAAACTAGAGACATACTTTTTTTTCTCTTAGTGCTCTCATGTTTTCATCATACACTCCAAGGCAAGATCCCAGTTCTGCAGTCCTTATGTAAGCAGTCACACTCACTGATGGAGGTAAGAGCGGCAGGATCTGGATCTAAATTTGTGTGCTTCATCTGAATTTATCCTTGTCCTTTTGATATAAAGCAGAAAAAAGTATAGCTTAAATAAAGCTAATTGCAGTAAGACTACCACTCTAAAAATATAAAACTATTATTTAATGTAGTTTATAGCTGTAAGGAAAACCAAGGATAAGGAGAAAAGCTCAAGACCCTTTACCTATAGCTACTTTACCTTTAAATGCACACAAATACATTATAGGCTACATTTTTCAGGGAATCTTCCCTTCAGTTGTCAGTTCTTTAAAGGTTGGAGCTGGTCACTTTAGAATTTCTGGCTTTTCAGAGCTTTTCTAATATAAGCTACATTTTAAAATCTTTAACTCTGAACTAAATTTTAAAATAGTGCACACGTTAAATTGACTATAAAGCACTTTGCTCAGGTACAGCACAGGCAGCAGCAATGCAAGCTTTCTCATTGCCCTGCCAATAACAACACTTAGTACTGTAAAACTATTAATGTGCCTCAAGCCCTGACCTGAAGGGACCATGTAAGCAGGAGAAGAGAGCAGTAACTCTCTGAGCACTGGAAATGTTAAAGGATGCAGTTTGCTTGGAGTATTTTTTTCAATATAAAGATTTTAGATGGTCACTTTGAATTACTTCTGGTCCCCACCAAGTATCTTGCTACTTGTCACTAGATCTGAGAATAATTATTGATTAGTAATAAATATGAACCTGAATCAAAACCTTAGAACAGAACACTCCCAAACTTTCCATCTAAGTTCTTATACTACCCATCACTGTGAGATGGGAAAGTTTAGCTCCAGATCCAAACTTCACAGTTGGTATCCATTACTAAATAACCATTTGTTCTTCTGTAGTGCCTTTCATTGGAGGCTTTTGCAACTCTTTGAAAACCTTAATGAAGTCTGCTTCACAATACTCCTGAGAGTGAGGTATCATTCCTCCTATTTTATATATGGACATTTCCATATCAGCAGGACTTAGTCGTACTGCAGTCTGTGACATTACCTTCTCAGTGCAGCTGAAACTCAGAAGGAAGTGATACCTACCCCATTCTGCAAATCTAGGATTTTTGTGGCACTTGAAGGGCCACATTCTCCCATTAATTACACTAGTGGAGCCTCATGAAAATAATTTTTTTCTGCAGGCATAAATGAAGGCAGCTCCATTGAGTTCAAAGGAGTTTTGTCTGTTTGCACCAACAGAAGATTTGGCTCAGTGTGGTTGCCACTGAACCGGAGACAATGACCATAATCAAAAAAGATGCCCATAGGGCAGCCTGGGGTTGAACTCAAGGTGCTAAACAGAGTTAAAAGCAGTATTGCTGTGTCTTAATTGCTATTCTAACTGAAGTTATCCAATGTGGATTATCTAACCAAATGAAGAATATACTTTTTTTATGGGGGGTGGGGGTGAGGGAGGAGGAGTGTAGACATACCCTAAAAGTGCTCCTCCTTGCCCTGTCTCAGTCCTAAAATTCTAACACTGAACTCTTGGAATTACCAGAGTTCATGTAATTAAACCCTGGAATAATTCCATCAGTGGTGATAGTGCCATAGGTTGTTGTGAGGGAAAAATCAGATATGATTCACAATCTGCTAAGAGGGGACATGTACAGCTCCCTGTGCTAGATTTAGTGAGTGACCCATACAGTTGTCTGAGAATTGGATGACCAAGTTTGCTGGATACATTTTGTCTGTTTTGGGCAGATACAAATCTCTAGAAATGACACTTCCAGAATTCCAATTTAGAAGTTAGAAGTCAACACTTTTTGTGACTAATCCTATCATTTCTTTTATGCACAAAATACCTTCTTTTACTAAAGATGGCATTACAAAGAGGCAAAATAAAAAAGGGTTTTAAAGTGTTCAGGATGTTCAATAATTTTCCCTCCAAGTTTTTCCTCCCCTATTTCATGCTGTCTTTACCAAATCTGTCTTGTAGGCAAGCTTCTTATTCTACTGTAAAGATGGAACTGAATCTATACCCTACCTCTCAACAAATACAAGCATTGGCATATGTTGGAATCTGAATCTTAATATCAAGGCTGACCTGAACTCTGTAATGGACCAAACCAAAACCCCAGAACTGAATACACCCGCATCCCAAGCCTTAAAATGTTCAAAATCCAGATCTGAATCTTTCAGCTCAGGCCCATCTCTACTCTAAAGCTAGTAACTTACTAGCTGCTTATGGTTCATTGTGAGTAGTTTTTAATGCATAGGGCTTGATCCTACTAAGTGGTGAGAGACCTCAACATCCACTGACTTAAGGTGAGAATGATAACTATTATTTCAGTGATGCTTCTGTCTCCTTATCCCACAAATACTACAGTATAATGGCTACTTTCGAATGATAAGAAAAATAAGAGACTAACTTCAATACATGCACAACTATTTGATGCCATGATATAAATGTCTCAAATTTGGAGAAACATGAATTGGAAAAAACAGATGCTAAAGCCTCAAATTTTAAGACTTCTTGAATTTCTGTACAAATGTCTGGTATTAAAATCAAATACAAGTAAAAGCAAAGGGAAAATTGTAATATATTTACAGAATCTGTAATATAAAAAGATGCAGTCATTTTCTCAAACTGTGTAGTATTGTTGTAATAGCATCATGAAAGAAATCAAGCAGTATATTTTTAGGAGGAATCTTTTATTTGTTTTTAAGCAGAATGATTCATTGGGTGTCTTCAAATGCTGTTCCTGATTGGTTATGTTTTGAACACTTCTCTCTGTTAATACTAAAGAAATATGACCTTTGGCATTCCTTTATCAATAGTTTCTCTTTGAATTCAGAGAAGGGATGGAGTGTGCCAGGTTTACAAACATACCAGTTAAAAAAGATCGTGCTTTAATGAAACCTTAAGTTATTATTAAATATTTGTGCCTTTAAAAAAACCGCAATAGTTAATAACAAACAAGACGTGCCTGTAATTTTATTTAAATAAAACTGATTTATGCATTGCTGAAGTCTGTCATCTCTTCAGTGGAAAGGCTTGATTGCATAGGGGTGTGTGTAAGTGTGTGTTTTTACAAGTCTGATGCCCTCAGAGGACA